GTGATGCCGCAGGGAGAGGTCCTGGAACCGCCGCGCATGTACGCCTTGACCGCACACCATCCTTCCACAGCGGCCTGAGCGCTCAGCCAACAAAGTACCACCCCACGCCCTACCGCGATGCAGCGGCAGCGTCGGCACGGCCGCGGGGTCCAGCAGGGCCGGGGCGAGGGAGATGTCAGTGAGGTAGTCCCGCCAGTTGTCCTGCTCGGTGCCCCTGAAGGCGATGCACAGCTGGCGCTTGCCCAGGTTCCAGTACAGCCAGGCCTGCAGCAGCGGCAGGAGTGGATGCTGGACAGGCTTGGCCGGTGTACTTGTTTTGATGCAGGCGACGCCGGACACCCACACCCTGCCGTTCCCTCAAGCCGCCACGACTGCATTGATCCAAATCCCCCCACCCCAGCCCCCACACACAGCGCCCCCAACCTGGGTGTCCGTGCGGGGGTGGGTGATGAAGCAGAGCGGGGTGAAGGTCTCTCCCAGCTGGATGGCAGCGGCCTCCTGCAGCTCGCGCCAGGGGTTGCTCTCAAACTCCTCCCCGGGGGCCCCCACGCAGACTGCTACGCGGCTGGGCGAGGTCCTGCTCCAGCGCGTCTGCAGGAGTCGATGCGCACCGTGATGCCTCATGCCACACAGTACGCATCGCAGGCTCTGCCCTGGGGGTCACCTGGTATTCACCCAGGTTTTTGAATGGCACCTGCAGGCACGACAGCTTCCCCACAACCCCAGCCGCACCTTCCATGGCCACATACTGAAGGCTGAGGGTGACCACACGGGGCTGCTCTGCCTCCGCCTTCCCTTCCTCGGCCTCAGAGCTGGGGAGCGCAGCCGCCGATGACTCATCCCCAGCAGCCTCCTTCGCGTCGGGCTTCAGGGTGATCGCCACCTCGCGCCAGCCCCCCCGTCCTCCCAGGCCCTGCTGGAGGTCCAGCTCCCCGCTCCCCAGCGCCTCCAGTGGCCGCCCCAGCCGGCTCCTCCACAGCTTCACACGCAGCCGGCGCGCCTTGGCGCGGTCCTGGATGAAGAGCAGCTTGGGGGCGGGAGGGGGCGATGGCTTCTCCTCCTTGGGACCGGGCAGCAAGGCCTTCATCCCCTTCCCGCCGTTTGCTGGCTTCTCCAAGGCGCGCGTCTCCACCTTGCTGCCCCCGAGCTCGACGGTGCAGTAGACCCGGTTGCTCACGTCCCACAACTGGCGGAGCAGGGCATGTGAGGATGTTTTCTCGGCACTGGGCGCCAAGCAATGGGTGAAACCTGGGTCTAAGCATCACCATCAATATCGCAGGCTGTCGCCGGGAATGCATCCTCATCTCCACACCTCTTCGCTGGGCAGCCCAGTCGCCCTCAGGAGCTCCACATGTAGCAGGCCATCCATGCACTGCCTCAGGAACGTCCTACAACAGTCAAGTCGCAGGGTGCGCACGATGTGAATCCGGTGAGTGTCGCGTTGCCATGTGGGAGTGCCAGTGCATACCTCAGCAAAAGTGCAGTCACGCATGGACCCTCAGTGGCATGGCACTGCCAACCGCCTGGCCCAAACACGCACTCGTCGACGTGGGTGATGCACGCGTCGCTGGTATCGATGTGCACGGCGTTGGTCTTGTGCGCCAGCTCAAAGTAAGCCTCAAAGGACGCCCCTGCCAACACGACGGACTGTCGCCAGTCAAAGTCATTCCCGGCGGCTGCAGGGGCGCTCTGGAAGTCTCTCTTCCCAAAGTCTCGAGACAGGTCCTGACATGCACGCTGACCAGCGTGCAAAGCACGCAGCGGTCGGAGCATCTCAGTCTGGCGGACGCGCATGCCGGCCTCTGCCCTGAACCTGCATGAAAGTCCGCCCCAAGGAGGAGAGAGACGGCGCTGAGCAATTGCTATACCGCGACGATCAATGTGCATGCAATCTTGCAGCCCGGCTCCAGTCCTCTCACCCTCGCTGCATGCAGCGGAGGCATCGCAAGGTGCCCCCTCCCTCCCAGCCTCGCGGTAGGAGTTTCCAGTAACTCAGTGCATGTGTCGCCAAACTCCTCATGTGCGCATGCGGGCTGGTGACGAGGTTATTAACATACTTCATCAAGTAAAGTGCATATGATGAGCTCAGATGACCCCGCGTATCGATTGCAGTGTCTTATTCTGGTGGTTGCATCGATGGGCTGTCCTGGAGGGGCCGGCGCCGGTGACCTGTCATTTGTTCAACCAAAAGGAGACCCAAGGGGACCACATTGGGCAACCCATTGATGGGCAACAGTTCAAGAAACCTTTCTTTAGAGAGGATTTTTGGAATCAGTAAAAGCTACAATTTAAAAAGCTGGGGGCTCTCCAGAGCTATACCAAGACCACCAAGTGCACCGCCTCAGGGCTCCACATTGTCGAAGCTTGACCTCACAAGGACCCAATGACGGAGTAGCTGATGACCCAGCTCAACTGCGGGGTTGGCATTTGAAGGCTTGATAATTGTTGGGAGATATTGCGGTCCCATGTATATTGAAACCCAACCGTTACCCTCACAGGACACACTAGCAAAATACCTTTCACTCACCACGAAGAGAGTGAGGCTCTGCGCAAAACCTTCAAACCACACGGGACCATTTGCGCTGTCAGAGCCATCTGGGGCTGCAAAGTCCTCGCTCTCAATCCTGAGACACAGAGGGGGCGGATGGACACTGTAGATGCACGTGCGTTGCAGAAACATGCACACACTTCCCAATGACAGACCCAGCTCACACCACCCAAACATCTGCACAAATACCAATGAGCACTTCCTGCGCCAGCTCACCCTTGATACTGCATCCAAAGACGCATAGATGTGTAATTGAAGCCCACGAATCTGACGGAGAAGGGTAAGGAAGTTTGTGTCATGGAAAACTTTGCCTAAGCATGCAAGCGCAACCGTCCTCTTCTGCTCCGTTCTTTCTCACCCTAAGAAAATGTAGAGGCCTTCAAGGCCTAGGCACCCCACTGTGATCCCCGCTATAAGGGCTGAGAGGCATCGCAGGTAGAGCATCACGTCCAGCACGTCATCCTGTACAAGAGGGAAACAGCGGGGCGACGTAGAGGGCAGCGTCATCCTGGGACACACAGGCTCGAGAGACTTGGTATACTATGTGAGAGGCGTGATAGGCTCTCGCTGTGGACTATGTCAGGCTACCTTCTTCCAGTCGTGGCCGGTGGTCGCGGCCTGACGCAAGAGGGCGAGTACCCGGACCATCGCAGCAGCAGCGGCCCAACAACAAATCGATGAGGTTATTTGAGATATGTGCAATGGCTACACACAGATAGATTTTGTTCAGAAATTTTTTATCGAGATGTCTGTGCCCTGTGGTTAAACTCTGATTTGTCCGAAGTCACGGCTGTGCCGTGCGACTTGCATGTGGCATGCTTTGGTTTGAAAGGTGGCGAGACAGACATTGCACTTCCACATAAATCAGCGGTCCTTCGACACAAATCATATCGACAGCGGCGCGACACACACGATGCCACAGCCCCAGCGTCTTTGAGCGAGGAGTGATATGGCGTGATCAGAGCCCACCCTCCCGCACTCTGCCCTGCTCCAGCGAGGAGATCCTCGCCCTGCACGCCAATGGTGCGCCGTGTGGGCCTCGGAATGAATCTTACGGGGCCCTTCCATTCCCGTATCGTGGCATTCATACCCTCTGCGTTCCGTGAAGGGCATCTCGGGCCTGCTGCCGCAGCTGCGGAGCATCACCAAGCGGGTGCACATCCGCGAGCATGCCGGGGCCAGGGCCGCGGTTGACGCCTACAGCCTGCTGCACAAAGGTAGCTATGGCTGTGCCGAAGAAATGGTGGAGGACAAGCCCACGAATCGGTGAGAATGGGGGGGCAGCTTCACAAGAGGTTGGCCGGCGTGTGTCACCTGGCGCTCGCATTCTGCTGTCTGCACGATGTCAACACCTCATCCGAGGGCCCTTCCTTGTGTGCCAAGCGATCCCGTACGCAAGGCCCTGGCCTTGCGTGCCGAGAGCCCACCGCCGCTCCCAGGCCATGCATCCCCGAATACCCCCCTCCCCTCCACCCCCCTCCCATCCCCCCCCCCAGGTATGTGGAGTACTGCATGTCGCGCGTGGAGCTCCTCCTCTCCGCCGGCCTGGTGCCCGTCATGGTGTTTGACGGAGGGCGCCTGCCCAACAAGGGCGAGGAAGAGGCGAGCCGGGGCCGGTCCCGTGCCGCCGCGCGAGAGAGGGCGCGCGCGCTGGCGGCCGCGGGGAACGTGGCGGGCGCCTACGAGGCGTACCAGCGCGCCGTGGACGTGACGCCGCGTCACGCTTTCCAGCTCATCCGCGCGCTGCGCCGACGCGGCGTGGACTACGTGGTGGCGCCCTACGAGGCCGACGCCCAGATGGCCCACATGGCCACCACGGGGCAGGTGGAGCTGGTGGTCAGCGAGGACAGCGACATGCTGGCCTATGGCTGCCCACTGGTGAGCTCTGAATGCGCACGGGTGGGGACAGGGGTAGGGTGGGCGAACATGCAGCGCCATGCTGCAGCCAGGTTCCCCTGGTACCGGGAGTGAGAGGGTGACTGGGTGCGGCCTGGACCTGTCGGCACAGGCATGGCAAGGGACGAGGCAGGAGAGCGGTTTCAAAGCTCAGCACGCTTGGAACTGACTGCCATGACATCCCTCGGTCCCCGTCCTTGCGCAGGTCCTGTTCAAGATGGACAAGGTGGGGTACGCGGATGAAGTGCGGCTGGCGGACCTGGGTAACAACGCTGGGCTGGACCTGCGGGGCTGGCCACACGACCTCTTCCTCCAGGTGGGAAGGGTTGGGAGAGGGAAGGGGTGGCTGGTGGACGTGAATGCGGAGCATGGTGCTCTTGCGGGGCCGTGCAGAGGACGGCATGGCGCTGTGCATGGAATTCATAAGAAAACCAGGCCTGCCCTTTCCCGACTTCCCATGGTAGGAAACCGTTACCCCCCTCCCTCCTGCCATGCAGCTGTGCATCATGTCTGGCTGCGACTTCCTGCCCTCCCTACCCGGCATCGGCATCAAGAGGGCCCATGCCCATCTGAAACGCACCCGCTGCTTCATCAAGGTGGGCGACCTGGACTGGTGGTGGGGGGGGTGGGGGTCCGGCAGTTGGGCCATGCACCTCCTGCCCATCTTGAAAGCCTGGCCATGGGTTGAAGACCAGGTGCAAGCCTTGTCTCCACCCTCACTCTTTGCGCAAGAACCTGCGATGGCGCTGCAGGAGGGAGCCTCACAGCCCATACGCACAGGGACACATCGAACGCCCCTCACAGATAATCAATGCCCCCATCGCTGATCTGACCACTCCTCCTCATCCTGCAGGCGGTGCAGGCACTCAAGTGGGACGGCACGGCCGTTCCCCCGCAGTACCTGGTACGATTTCAGCGCGCGCTCTGGTCCTTCCGGCACCAGAGGGTGTACTGCCGGACGCAGCAGGCCACCATCCCCATGACCCCGCTGCCGGAGGGTGGGCTGGCGGCCAGCACCCTCATCCCTGAGGCTGCCGAGGTGTGTGGGGAGGGCGCTGCGATGTCGGGTGCGTCAAGGGACAAAGATGATTCCTGCCTCTTGACCCTGATGTGCAGGTAGGCAGCTCCACTGCTGCTGCCCCGGACCCACCAGCCACTGTGGCAGACCAGGTCGAAGTTGTCTCACTCAAGCCCTCCCACTCCCAACCCTTGTTCCACCAGCAGACCGTAGAGGGCGAGCCTGACTTCCTGGGGCCCTGGGTGGAGGACTGCATAGCGCGCGGCGTAGCCGAGGGTGGGGCGGATTGTGCTGGCAAGGAGGTGGATGGAGGGTTGCAGTACTCCCACAGAAGCAAGGCCTGATGTTTGTGCACCCTGGTCCCTGCGCTCGACCGCCACGGCTCCCCATCGCAGGCCGGCTGGACCCCATGACGCACCAGCCCTTTGCCATGGACCTGCCCTCGCCCACCAAGCAGCACCCTGACCGGCAGGGTGGCCGAGGTCTTGGACAGCAGCCTAAGACCTGGGCCGCCCCCGCCACCCAGGCCCCTCCCGGCCCCAGCCCCGGCCCCAGCGATGGTCAGCAGAGCCTGCTGAGCATGGGCTGGGGCCGGGGAAAGGCCAGCGGCTTCCTGGCCCTGCCCACCTGTAGCAGGGAGGCGCAGCGTGCATACCGTGCCCCCCGCCCCGCCTCCCAGCCCGAGAGCGGATCCCAGGTTGCACACGCCAGCTCCAGCCCCGCCCCGACCTCGCTGGGCGGTCGCAGGAGCAGTGGGACCCTCCTCCACCGCTCCGGCAAGCCCGGCGGCGGCCAGGGCGTGAGCCGCTACTTCTCCCGCGCTCCCTCCGCGCCGAGCGGGGGCAGCCTGGATGGCGGGGGCGTCGGCCAGGCGCCCATCGAGCCAGGAGCCGACGGTGCCGGCCGGGTGGCCTGCGAGCCTGGCCTGGGAACAGCAGCTCCAACTCCAACTCCGGGGGACTCCGACCTCCACTCCACCGCCTGCTCGCCTGGCCTGGCAAGGGCCCTGGCGACCCAGGAGCAGCGGCGGCGCAGCGGGCACAGCGTGCCGGCCAGCCAGGCATCCGGCGGGTGCGGACTCTCCCAGGGCAGCGGCGGCGATGACAAGGAGAACGTGTCCCTGAGTGCCTCCTGGGGGCCCACCGTGGTGCCCAGCCAGGCCAGCGTGGATGGGGGAGGAGGGAAGCCCGGCGACGCGTGGAGCGGTGGCGAGGCGGCGGTGGGGGCCCCTCCCAGCCCGCACCCGGCGCCCTCGCCGGGGTTCTATGTCGTCCAGTCGCCGGCGGGTCAGGATCAGGCCGAGGCAACGCCAGAGTCTGGCACTGGGGCGCCGCAGGTCGTGTCCCCCGCTGGGCTGCCCTTGGGGCCGGGCTCGGGCAAGCGACGAGGGTCTGGGCCTCAGGGCACCCCGCTGCCGCGGCGGCGGCTGGAAACTGGCGCCTGCGGCAGATCCCCCCCCCCAGAGCCAGAGGCGTCGAGCTCGCTCTTCAGCCAGTTTGCATTTAAATCGTGTGCCTGAGGAGCGATGCAGTTGCAGGTGCCTGCTGGATGTGTGCTTGGTGGCTTCTTGTATATATCCGGCAGCAGCATGCCAGGACCGTGCCAAGAGTCCAGGGAGACACCTCGGGTGTTTGGGAGTACTATAATCGTGTCAGATGAATGCAACTGGGATGTCATCACGGGCCAAGGGGTCCATGCTTGTCTGTTCGCATGGTCTACTTCACATCGATGGAGGAGTCCAATCGCAACCCGAGTGTCGGAGCAAGCTAGGGTTTCCGACGAGCTCCCGACCGATCTACCGCTCATCCGTCGCGTCGTCCTTGTCGCACATAGTACGTGCAGACTTAACTCACAAGCCCATGTTTTCACTGAAATCCTGAAATTGTATTACGTCAAGGAGTTGAAAGGTCAGGCGACTCGCCTGCCGCTTGCTGCAACGGAGAGTGACACGTCATGGGATCATTGTCCCATTTTGCAATACAAGCTCGCCGCTCGACAAGGGACAGAGAGCCTTCCAGCGATAACTGTGGATTTCACTGGCTACAAACAAAGCAATACCGCACCGTGCTGCCCGCGTGCGCACTCGCAAACACCGGCCAGCACTCCCCCTGCTCAGGGTGTCGGCATGCGGGCGGTGGTGTGCACCCGGCTGGGGGACGCCAGCAAACCCTTCGGCACCCCCGATGCCCCGCTGGCCCTCGTGGATGACCAGCCGCGCCAGCAGCTGCCCAGCAAGGGCGTGCGCATCCGGGTGTCGGCCGGGGCCCTCAACTTTGCAGATGCCCTGATGGTCAAGGGGACCTACCAGGAGAAGCCACCCCTGCCCTTCATCCCGGGCAGCGAGTGCAGCGGCACCGTCATCGAGGTGGGAATGAGAGTCTCGTGTACCAAGTAAGGGACATTCCTGAGAAGACGCGGGCCGAGGGAGCCTTTTGCTGGGGTCAGGCCGAGTGGCAGGTCGCCTTGCAAACATCACCTCCCCTCCAATCCCTTTCGCAAGGTGGGCAGCGGGGTGCGGAGCGTGGCGGTTGGGGACAAGGTGTGCGCCCTCACCCCCAGCCACGCGCTGTGCGAGGAGGCGGTGGCGGACGAGGCGTCGGTGGTCCGCCTGGACCCCAGCACCAGCGAGGCGCGGCTGGAGGAGGCGGCGGGCCTCCCCGTCACATATGGCACGGCCTACCTCGCGCTGGTGGACCGCGCCCGCCTGGCGCCCGGCCAGACCCTGCTCGTCCTGGGCGCCGGCGGCGGCGTCGGCCTGGCGGCCGTGCAGCTCGGGCGCGCGCTGGGCGCGCGCGTGGTGGCCGTCGCGCGCGGTCCGGAGAAGGGCGCGGTGCTGCGCGCGGCCGGCGCCGACGCTGTGATCGACTCGGCGGCCGCCGGGAAGCTGCGCGACGCCATCAAGGCCGCCGCGCCGCGCGGCGTGGATGTGGTGCTGGACCCCGTGGGCGGCGACCACTTCTTCGAGGCCTTCAAGTGCGTGGCCTGGGGCGCGCACATGCTCGTCGTCGGCTTCGCGGGCGGGGTGCCCAATATCCCCGCCAACATCGCGCTGGTCAAGAACACCACCATCCACGGTGAGCCTGTTGTTTTCTTTTGAGAAGAGGGAAGGGGGTGGTGAAGATGGGAAGTGGAGAGGGCCGGGGGTGCTGCCGAGGCGTGCTGCTGTCCTGCCAGGTGCACTGGCGATGTGATCAAGCCCCAAGCTTTTGAGGGTCCGAGAGGACTGCGCAGCTGAGGTCCAAGGACCTCAAAGAGGCCCCAGGGGTGCCGGACTGCCATGTCCTCGGCACCAACCAACACGCTATCCCTCAACCCCCCAGGCATCTACTGGGGCTCGTACCAGCGCAAGCAGCCCGCCGTCTTCCGGAGGTCCCTGGACGAGTGCGCCGCGCTGTTCAGCCAGGGCAAGGTCAGCGTCCACGCCAGCCACCGCTTCCCTCTGGAGCAGGCGCCCGAGGCCTTTGCAGTGCTCATGAACCGCGGGGTGATCGGAAAGCTCCTGGTGTTGCCCCGGAAACAGGCCAGGATTTGAGGCGGCACCTGGGGAGGATAGGCTGTGCATGTGCAATTTTCTGACTCCCTTGTATGCCAGGCAGAGAGAAGTGTGCCTTTCTGGATGGTGCTGGGCGCTTATGTAAGAGAATTGCTGAGAAGACAGGCACTCGACGGCAGGGAAGATGACGGGGATGAGCGAGGTTGTTTTTCAGGAAGGACAAAACGTAAGGCGCGTCAGGTCTAGCACAGAGCGTTGTCATTGGAGAGAGTCAAGGTTGGGCACACCTCCGGCGAGGGTGGATTGAGGCCTGGTCGCTGAGCCACACCAGGCAGAACCACAGGGGATATTAGTGGATCCTCTTGATGCGGCCGGACTGGGCCATTCCATCCTCCCGTCAGGACGCAATCGCGTCGCTCCTGATGTATACCCTGGAAGCCTTCCGCACGGCGGCCGCCCAGCGTGCGTCCCGCGCCGCTCCTCCCTCCCCTCCAGCCTTGAACTCCACGGTCTGGGTGCCGCCGGCGACCAAGAGCACCGTGCTCGCCTTGGCCTCGCCGGGGCCGGCCCCGCCGCTGCGCAGGCGCTGGATGAGCTTGGAGGGGGAGGACAGCGCGTCCCTCGGCACCAACCTGCCCCACCTGGAGCCGGCCACGAAGCACTTGACCTGGGGGCGGGAGCCCGGCTTGAACCCCGCCTGACTGGTCTTGGCGCCAACCTGGGCCACCGCAGCCGTGAGTGTGGACCGCGGGAGGGGCCGTGTGACGGTCTGCACCCTCCGACTGCCACTCCCTGTAGCGGTTGGATCGGAGGGGCAGGCGTAGGCATTGAGGGTGATCGGGGGGAGTGGGTAACACTCCCAGCATCGGAGATGAGGATGGCCAGCAGACCCGGCTCTACAGTCATGTGTGCTTGATAACAAACATAGTCTCCCTCTCACCCGATCGCGGACTGGTGGGGGACTTGGGCTGCACCTTGCGGGGCGTGCCTCGGTCCTCGGCCCCACTGCCACCGTCCGAACTGGAGGACGAGCGGGCCCTCACCCTCTTCCGGGAGTCATTCTTCACGGCGGAGGCGAGGCGTCGCGACTCTTCTCGGGCCAGGGAATGCCGCGATCGCTCCCGCCCCGCCCAGTTCAGGTTGCGGTGGAGGGAGAGGGCTAGCTCGGCATCACGTTCAGTGTCGAGGTTGCCAGCGCCTTCCGGTGCCTCCTCTTTCATGCACGACTTCTCCGATGTCTGGAATGCCGCAACGTGCAGGTCTAGCTCACGCACATGTGAAGCTGAACCAAAAAGGCGAAGCAGAGCCCACGCTGTTGCTGTTCAGAGAGGCTGAGATCGCTAGGACGCGATAGAATGCTCGGGATCTGGGAGCAGCATGTAGGGGCGGAGGTCATTTGTGTTATTCGGGGTGCCCAGGGCGTCCCAAGTTCCCGACACCCCCATCACTTTCGAAGAGGGACGTGCCCGTGCTGAGCGTGGGATGCTGGAGCCCCAGAGCGCAGGCACTTCCGGCCCATGCCGGAGCCCTCCTGGACCAGCCCGGGCCCTTCATTACAGACGCTACGTATGATGGAAGAGAAATGCGATTGTACCAATATTCAAGTGTCAGAGATGTGCCGCAGCATAAGCTCTCAGTCCGGCCGGCTGAGTTTCGGCCCTTGAGTGTTCCACCCTAGAGACCAGTCTGAGGCTCTTCAGGCCGGCTGCAGCCTAGACCTATCATGGCAAAATCCGGTAAACGGAAGAATGCGGGGGTCGGCATCGACTTCAAGCGTGCCAAGCACAAGGTTGGGCGCAAGCTGCCCGCCGCCGCGAACGCCACCGACACGACCATCAAGTCCGCCACCATCTCGCTGGGGCAGCAGAGCATGGCCGTGGACCGTGCGGGGCAGGCTGTCACCGCACGAAACCTGACGCTCAAGGTGCGACGACGTCGCTGCTGGGTGGGAAAGGCTATTGTGGAAGGATGGGGTGGGGTCGAGGGAGGTTTTAGCTTTGGCCTGGGTCACCGTGTGTTTTCAAACCCCCATGCCAGGTCGCCTGGCTTGTAATCTAGATTGGGCTCGCGCATCACCAGCTGGGATATTGTCCCTCAGCCTGCAGAAGCCAGGCCATGCATGTGCTGCTGTTTGTCTACACCGAGTACATCACCTGCCGCATCCCCCCCCCCCCCCCCCCCACGGAGACGCTGGCCCAGTGCTCGCACTACTCCGAGAAAGTACGGCGGGACGCGCTGGAGGGCCTGGCCCAGCTGGCGCATGCCGACGCGCGCGCCTTCCGGCGCGGCGCCTCGGCCGTGGTGGACGCCGTCGCGGCGCGGCTGGGCGACGCCGAAGCCAGCGTGCGCGCCGCGCTGCTGTGCACGCTGCGCGAGGCGGTGCTGCCCGCCCTGGGTGGCGACGCGCTGGCGCCCTTTCTTCCGCGCCTGATGGCCGCTCAGGCCGCGGCGCTGACGCACCTGGGCGGTGCCGTGCGCGCCGACGCGCTGCGCAGCCTGCAGGCGCTCGCCGAGGCCGCGCCGGCCGCGCTGGGCCCCGCCCACCTGCCCGGCATCCTGCGCCACTTCTGTGCGCTGCTCTCCCGCTCCGCGCGCGGCCGGACGCTGCAGGCTGGATCGCTGACCTCGCTGGGCGAGACCCTGGCCTGCCTGGAGATGCTGCTGGGCAGGGTGGCTGCTGCGAGCGGGGATGGAACGGAACCGGAAGCACCTGGCCCCGCGGTCACCACTAGTCCGCGCTGCCGCTGGGCGCCCAGGGTCCCGGACGTGGCTGCCACGGCGTGGGGCTCCTTGGCGGACACCACGCCCATTGCGACGACTACCGCAGCCTCCGGCCGTCAAGGCCCGCATCGCAAGGCGCGGGGCGAGGCGGTGGAGCTCCTCTCGCACCTCCTGGCCGCCTGGAGCGAGTGCGGGGCGGACTCGCTGGCCGCCGACCCCGCCGAGCTCCCTGCGCGCTGCCTGGGCTCCATCTGCCGCTGCCTGTCCCTGGTGCTGGACGTCTGGGGCCTGGGCCTGGCGTACGTGAGGCCGGCGGTGGACGGCGGCGTCGCCACCACGATGGCGCGGCGCGGCGCACGCCACTCACCACCCACGCCCGCCGATCTCATCCTGCGCCGGCTGGCCCCCGCGCTCCCCGTGCCGCGGCCGGGCGTGGCCATGGGCGCGGGCACGCTGGCGGCGCTGGTGGACCTCAACGTTGCCGGCGCGGTGCTCCTCGCCCGCTTCCTGGCCGCGGCCTTCGCGGACTCGCGGGGCGCGGGGCCGGCAGGCCATGAGGCCTGGTCGGCGCGGCTGCTGGCCTGGATCGCGGGCGTGCTGGAGGCGGACGCCGCGGTGGGCCCGAGTCCTAAGAAAGAAGGAAGTACAGGCCCCACGCTGGCGCCGGGGGCCTACGCCGCCGTGCTGCGGGGCGTGGCCCAGGCCCTGCCCCTCCTCCCGCCGCCCAACCGCCGGAGGTTGGTGCGCGCGGCGCTGGCGCTGGCCGGCCGCTCGCCGCCGGACTCGGCCGCCTTTGCGGCCGTGGCCGCCGTGTGGGGGCCCCTGCTGGCCGCCCCAGCCCGCTCCTTCTATGTGCCCCTCAAGGATGGCCACCCCGTCGTCGACCTGGACGACGCCCTGGCCTGGCTGCAGGTAGGGGTGGAGTGGGCGGCGTGGGGGAATGTGGAGGTTGCGTGACTGTCCTAGGTGCGTGCATGCCAGGGCAGGGAGCATGGCCTGTGCGTGGTTGTGAGTATGGCACTCTGCACATTGCCGTCTGGCAGCCCTCTGACTAGCCTGGGCGCGAGTTGATGCCGAGCGAGGGGTAACCGCTCACGGCAGCCGGCTCTCGTGCCTCAAGTCTGCTCCGTTTTCCAGGGCCGTAGGGCACCTTCACTCCCTCCCACGCTATCCACTGGGACACCCACCAAAGGCACCCGCCTTCCCCTGCACACACCGCAGACACTGCCCCGCGCGCTGTGGACGCTGGGCTCCGCACACCAGCAGCGCAGCGCGCAGCTCCTGCGCCAGCTGCTGGACTCGGCGCGGTGCAGCCTGCCCGGCGGCCGGCTGGCAAGGGCCCTGGCGGCCCTGCAGCCCCAGCTCCTCGTGCTCTGGGGCAGCGTGGCGCCCGGGAAAGCGGGGCGCGGGGGCCCCGCCTGCGCGTCGGCCCGCTGGCCGCGCTGGGCGCCGAGGCCCAGGCTGTTGCTGCCGACACGCTGGCGCACCTGGCCGCGCCCACGCCCCTCCTGCTCCGCACCGCAGCCTGGGTGGCCGTGGCGGAGGCCTACCCGGTGGACACCGCGGAGAGGCTGGTGTCCAACGTCCAGCGCCTGCTGACCGGCGACGAGGGGGGTCCGGGTGAAGCGAGTGCATCGAATTCCAGCCTGCTGGTCGATCGCCTGGTGGTCCCCCTGCTGACCTGGCAGGCGGAGGCGGGGGTGTCGCCCAGCGCCGACGCGCGCCGGCGCGAGGCGGTGCTGACCGCCGCGTGTGCGGCGCTGGTGCAGGCCCCGGGCGCGGCGCGCCTACTGTGCACCGGCGAGGCGCTGGGCCGCATCGTCCAGCTCGGCGCGCACGGCGCGACCGCGGCGCACGGCCTGCTGCGCGCGCTGCTGGCCGCGCAGCGGGCACGGCCGGGCAGCCTGGCTGAGGAGGCCTGCGTCGCGGCGCCGGCCCTCGTGCTTGGGCCGCTGCTGGCGACGAGCGGCGAGGGATCGGTGGACGGCGATACCAGCGATGCTGGGGAGAGTGAGAGCGACGATGCCATGCGATGGGCGATGACCAGCGCCGTCGAGTGCGCCGCCATCGTCCCCAGCGCTCTGTCCGCACTCATACATGGCTGCGGCGGTAAAAGCAAGGGGCGCGCAACTAGAGCGGGGGGCGAGCCGGCAGCCCCTCCCACCCAGCTTCTTCACCGCCTGCGCCTGCTGCACCTCCTGCTCGAGGATGGCGGCCTGGCGGAGGGCCTGCTTGCCTTGAGTACAGACCTCCAGACCTGCCTGGAGGCTGTTGCAGAGGAAACCGCGGCCCTGCATGAGGCCGACCCGAGCGCCGGTTCGGCGAGAGAGTGGCTGGCGCGCTGCCGGGCGCGCGCCGATATACTCCTTGGTCGCTGAATGGATTTGAGACCAGTGGCAACAATCCTTACTGCACATTTGTCCCTTCTCCCTGGTCGACAGTACCATGTGGCAGGCGAAACGTCAAGATGGGTGCAACACACCCCACACAGTCAGTACGCAACCGACTCGGCGGCGATCAGGCGGCCGCCTTCCTCCGCGGCCCCCTGCTCCCGCAGAACCTTGGCCAGGACGCGGGCGGCGCTGGGCAATGGGCCATCGCTGCCTGCTGCCAGCGCCCGCGCGCGGCGGCCGGCCTCCAGGGCCCCTGCCCTCAGCGCGGCCTCCCACCGGCTGCCGCCAAGGTCCCTGCGCTCCTTCAGGGCGTCAGCCAGGGGGGCGCCGGTGCGCAGGACTCCGGCGGCCAGCAGCGCCGCGATGGTGTCGGGGCCGGAGTCCAAGGCCAGGCCGTCGGAGCCGCGGAAGGCGACGCGCGGGTCGCCGGCGCCGAAACGCGCGGCCAGCGCGGCGACCAGCGCCTGCGCCTTGCGCTGGAAGCGGGCAGAGCACACGCTGCCCTCCGCGAGCCCGGCCCATTCGTCCCTGAAACCGGGCACGGCACGCGCCAGCTCGCCCACCAGCGCCCCGGCCTGCATTGGCTCGCCTGGGGAGTCTCGGGCGGCTGTGTCCACCAGGGTGAGGAGCCACGCGCCCAGGCTCGGGTGGTCTTGGGAAGTGGGGAAGGGAAGAGGGGGAGTGTGCATTTGAACACCTCCTCCTCGCATTAGAGACCGCCAAGGATGCAAAACTATATGCCTTGGAGGTGTGCTTTCTGAACCCGCTTGGAGACATGCGCGCAGTGTAAGCGCCACATTCAATCCAGCTCTACACAGTTCCCACCTGCACTTAGCATGGCTTTTCCAGCAGCCTGCAGCACGGTCACGACGTTGTTCACCCACACATTCAGAGGCCCCTGGAGGGAGAGAGGGGCGGGAGGTAGTTTGGTTTGGGGCAGAAACAGGTGGGGGATCTAGTCCCCTGCAGGCATGGTACTGCGCCCGGGGCCCCACATGAATGCATCCTTGGCAGCCAGTGCTGTGACGCAAAGCCCCACCTCAAAGCCATCACCAAACACCCACTGGCCCATGCACACACCGCTTTGGAGAGCATGATACCGGGGCGGACCTCCTCCTCGACGCAGGCATCAACGTTGAAGTAGGTGAATACCTGAGACGAGCAGTGGCAGGAGGGGGCAGGTGTGGGGACGCTGCTTGAACATGCTGACGCAAGCCATGGATGGTGCTCCTGTCAGCAAGCAGGTCTGGCCAGGAATCATGAGAAACTTTCCTTGTGCAGGCATCTCCGCCCCCCCTAACCCTCCACCGGCAGTCCCTTACCCAAACCATATACGGTACTCGCCTGCTGTCGTGAAAAGTGCGCCAGGAACCGTGCGTCCAGGCTTCGCCCGTCCAGGTGACACGCCATGAGACCATACTCCATGCATTCTCTGCTCGTGCGCCCCGTGCTCGCCAGCAGGCCTGCATCATGGCTGCTCCCTTGATCCAGGAGGTGGCTCACAGCAATGTAATTGACCTGGTCGTTGGTGGTGGTGCAGTGGAGATGGAGGCGGTGCAGGTGAAGAGACCAGGTGCACAGAGTAACACAGGAACAACGCAGTCATTTCATTATAAGCTGCAGTGTATCGCAATCAAAACATTCCACCATCCTCATAGCTAGCAGTTTCTGGCAGCTCCCGAGCACCAGATACCTCTTGGGTGAGGTCATCGAACTTCAGTGGGAGCCTGAGGGTTGGCTTCTGCCTCCTAGCTTCCTCAGCGCCTTCGTCAACAGCAGATGAGAGTGCTGCGTCATCGATCCACACGTCATTGCAGGACTCCAACAGCTCGGTGCATGACCTGCAGGTGGTTCACATGGGTTTCCCTATGACGAGGAGGATGTACTCCACAGCGCAAGTGATCAGGACCCCGCACGGGCACATCGAGCACTCACCGATGAATGTCGTCCAGTATGTCCTCCTTAGGTGACATGGAGCTCGCAATGCCGCTGTTCCGATGGACCAACAACGCAGGCCTTGAGTTCAGTCTCCAGATGTATATGCTGATGTGCACTCCTCACAATAAACCGATTGTGGTGTGCATACAAAATCTTGAATCTGAGCAATATATGCTGATTTACCCAAGGATGAATTTGTAAAGCGATCACACTGCCATTTCGAGGTCGAGCAGCAAGGCGCGACCTGGTCCGTCGCGCCTTGCCATGACTCGTCCAATGAAAACCCCTCCCATGAAGCGTTGAAACATTCGGCACTCAGCCGCAAGTCAGCGTAAACAAACTCCTCTAACGAACGGGATTGCATTATGGGTCGACCGCCTTCACGATAATCTGATGCGCGAGATTCCGTAGATGAGGTCCGGTTTTTCTGTCCCAACCAAGGACCATGCCCGGCATGCCATGCCAAGCCCCCGAGGATCTCTGGACCTCGAATCCCCGCTTATATTGTCGAGAAACAACTCTTTAACGGATGCATTACGCAAACTGTTGACCATCCAGGCATTTGACGAGGAGACCCCTGGCAATGATGCATTTCGCATGGTGATGAGGGACCAGTTCTTGCGTTCAGCCGACATGGAGGGAGCAAGAGTGAAGGTGGTCGTCCGTACCATTACGATACTTGCCATGCCGTACAGCAAGATGTGATGTGGTTCAAACTTTAGTGTAACCGATAGTACCTCATTCCCACCTGACCAGGGCACATGGCTGGGGCTGCTGGCAGCATCATATGGTACCCAGCGACTGGCGTGCAAATGGCATTTGCCCGCTGACTGCATTGTGGAGGTACGTTGCTACAGCACCTGACACTTGGTAACCCTTTAGTAGATTGCTGTGTACAGGCAAGGTTTGGCATGACAGGTGCAGGTGCCCCAGCGATCCAAGGACATCGGGTGTTTGCCGGTTGTGGAGTGCCTCACACCACGCCGTTGCAGATAGTCAATGTAGCACCACACCATCGCACCCTCCACCACAGATGGACGCTCTCGAGACCTTCACCAATCTGACGGTGTTGGGTCTCATGGGCATTGTGCTGGCTTGGCTGGTTGGGCTGGTGATGACGCCAAGATTTAGTTTCCTGTTCTCAGGGTAAGCGGCATGCTGGAGGTGGAGCAGCGGGCTGTTCTCGACAAGTAGATTCCCCGCAAATGCCAATGCCTCGAAATAATGGTCCTTGGTATTGCACTGTTGCTTTCCATGCCTCACCGCCCATGCATGCTATGCCGCAGGGCGCGCTGGTACTTTTCCCTTCTCCTGCTCTCTGTACCACTCGTATACTCCATTCTGAGTGATGTTCCGGCCTTCCAGCATGATTTCAGAGACTTGCCAAGCTGGAGCTGGCCCTTCATCGCCCTCATTGCTGCTGGTGTGTTGAGTTGAATGTGGGCATGCGATCCCGGGTGCGGTTTGGATCAGACGCTGTGGGCTTCACTCAGCAAACCAGTGTGCACCCACACCGCCCCTTGCCCAGTGTTGCTGATGGTGGTGGGCGTGTTGGGCTTCCACCTGCTCTGGGCCTACCAGTCCCGGCATCTCACGAAGTACCTGCTCCCACGCTGCACCATTCTGGGGTACTGCGGCATGGGTCTCATCACGCTCAGCGGCAAGGGGCATGCCATCCACTTCCACCACCTGTATGTTGGCCTGGCTCTGGCAATGGTGAGTGTGTCAAGGGTCATTCTGAGGGCTGAGGATGCAGGCCTGTTGGTGATGATGGTATGCAGTCCAACTTGAGCAGCTTCTCCTGCCACTACCCTGCTCGTCCATGCCACATGCAGTGGGCGGATGCAAATCACATGCTGTCCGCTGCCCTGCTGGCGATTGGAGCGGGCATCTTCTGCCAGGTGGGTGACTGAGGAGGGCAGGGTGCGTTGCGCCAAGATGATTGCAAGATCAGCCTGTGACACCCCCACCTTCATCACCCACGGGTCACAGGGGTTGGGCGCCTACTCCTTTGCCCCTGCCATCCTGCCGCTGGGATGCTTCGACACACCCTCCGCAGAGCTTCTGAATTGCACCTTCACCGGCGACTCCCCATTTGCTTTGCGCTTCTGTCCACTCGCAGGGGGAGTTGCCATGGACCACTCATGCCGTGCAGCCTTGGAATGAGTGCATGGGCTTTGGTGATAGAAGGGCCACATCTCTTCTGCAATCAGCGTGCACAATTTTTATCATCTCCTTTTCCCAGTTGTTTTGCCCCCTAGCCGCATTGCCTGCAGGTGTTGCTTCCTGCTTGGAAACCACCTTGAATTTCTTCCTGCCAGACTATAAGTAGGAGATGACCTTACAGCACCCTCAGCATACATACTCAGCTCGTTGGGGATATACATCGTCACCTCCTTTCCAGTAGGACTCGATACACGGCACCACCCTGCCTTTGCGTCAGCACCTCCCTCTCAGTCGGCATGCCCTGTTGTGCACAGCAAGGAGAGCGGGCAAAAGTTGAGCGGGTGCAAGCTCAAGATTCATCAGGACAGCGTCGAATGCAAACACATTCATGCGATTCAGTGGCTAACCAAAGTCTCACATCTGTTCCCAGGCAGAATGTATCCACCTCTTCCACTGGAAGGTGCGCGCACCAGTGGGTTTTCCCGGAGCCAGCCCAGGGATGCGCAGGGCGGTTCCCCCAGGGCCAAGCCTTCCTCCCCGCCAGAGCAGCCTTCCTTGTCGTTGCCCTTGAGCCCCATGTCCAGTTGATGCCTGGATCGCGCATGGAACACAGCGTCTGGCGCGTCATGGCCAGGGGCAGGCGAGAAGGCCGGGTGTGCAAGGAAGTGGTCCCGCATGTCTTCAGCGACCTGGCAAATAGGGCGGGGGGGTTCAAGACTGTATGCACGAGACTTTCACATTGACAATCCGGCCTGCCATTGCGCCGCTCTGCAGCACATCCCCGTTCCCGCGGGTGCAGGAAGGGAGTCAGGGCAACTGTCTACTCTTCAGAAAGCGCCGCTCAGGGCCATGAGTCTCCTTGCTCGTTCAGAGTGTTGTCCCGATGCATCGTCTGTCTCCATCCCAACGGTATGTCTGCTGGAGCACAGGGTCGGCGCCCCCATACCGTCCTGCTACCCGACAGGGGCTCCGGCACAGTCCACTGTAACCCATGAAGATGCTCCCCGCCTTTCAATCCTCCCCCCCTCACCTCCAGGACATCAGACTGGAGGAACACCCGGCCACCGCGCGGCATGAGCTCCGCCACGCTGTCCACCAGCCCCCGCTGCACGATCCTGCGCTTGCGGTGCCGCCTCTTGAACTGGGGGTCCGGGAACTGGATGGTCACCAGGTCCAGCCGCCCGGGGTAGGAGCGGAGGACGGGGCCCAGGCTGAGGGTGGCATTGGCCAGCACAAAATGCACGCTGCGCGCCACGCCCAGCGCCGCTGCCCAGTCCTGGGCCCTGTCCACCACGCTGCCCCGGATCTCGAATCCCAGGTGGTTGTGCAGGCCGCCCGCCGCACCTGTCTGGGCCAGGCCCAGCAGGAATCGGCCGTACCCCGCGCCCACGTCCACGATCAGGGGCAGGCCGGGGTCGGCGTACACGGCCGCCCAGTCGGGGGGAGGGGGAGGGGTGGCCAGCTCCTTCTTCAGGGGGTTCACGTGCTGCCGGAACTTCTTCCCCCCGCCCACCTCCTTGTACAGGGCGGCGTTCCGGCCCAGTCTGGGGAAGGGGCTCTCCTCCAGCGCCTCAGGGGCGCTGGGCTGGGCAGCCACGCACACCATCACACCTGTGCGCCGGGATATGATCGAGCCGAAGCGCTGGGGACCAGAGGTCGAGAGGACACGCGTGGAGGCCGAGGCCAGCATGAGTTCGTGGGCGCGACGGGTGCTGCGTGCATTCGTATCGGGAAATACACAGGGGCCCCCCTTGCAGGGATTCGAATTATATTTGCTGATGTTTAGCACAACAATTAGTGTTATATGCGCTACCTGTGTCACTTGGGTCGCAATGTGGGTCATTGCATGGCGACATGTATCTGTATCGCGCCCTAGCTGGTTAGCCATGCCCGGCATGGACGTCAGGTCACACCCGGGCAAACCTGATCCCTTCTCAGATACAGGACCTCAATCCTGCACTGCCTGAGCTCAGACATGATATTTATGTTCTCACTGAAAGATTTTTCATGGTACAAGATGGGTCCTGCAGCGTCTGAGAGGCAAGCAAGGGGAGAGGGGGCCGGCGCCGTCGGGCAGCCTCGCTGGCTTCTCAGGTGCTGGTAAGGTTGGGGCTGAGCCGGTGCAGCACGAGCTCCTCCTGCGGCACCACCCGAAAGGGCTGGGCCAGGTCCAGCCTGACGCCAGACAGCCTGCCGGCCCCGAAGACCAGCTCCGGCAGCTCATCCTCGGCATTGCCTGGAAAGAATCGAATATGAAGGAGGGGGTATACTGAGGAGGCAACGATTGATGATCACTCCCAAGCTGGCCCTGCATCGATGGTCTGGGTGGGAGTGCGCTAGGCCCCTGCATCTCGATCCCAGGCAATCATTGTCACGCTGTATGCCTCACAACCGACCACGTCGGCTCACCTTGTACTATAAAGGCCGCGTCAATGACCAAGCCCCCAAGCCTGCCCAGGAAGCCATGCAGTGCCTTGCGCGCCAGGTAGGCGTAGCAGTGGATGTCCAGGTCAATCTCCATATAGCGTGATGTGGAAAAAAAGTGGTGCTGAGGGCGGGACAAGATGGGTTTGTCAGCGTAACTCGACAGGAGCTTCGACTCATACCCTGGGCGGGATGGGGGGTGGATGGGTGAGGGGGCTGTGTATGGGTGCCAGCTGGGAGTTTCTGCTGTCAAAGAGTGAGCGTCGGGTCACCAGCCTTGGGTAGATTGCATGCCGCTGCTTGGTGTTACCAGCCGCAGAGCCTGGATGGAGTGTGCCTGACATCCCCTGGGACAGGTGGCTCTTTGGGCACAAGCTCTGTCCTCCAGCCCGCCTTCCCAGCACCATGAGCAAACAAACACTCTCTGCAAACGGCCTGCCTGTCAATCCAACTTGTGCCCAGCTCACGGGAGAGGGGGGCGGCGCTGGCCCACTCCTCTGGGTTGGCGACGTGTGGGATCAGTTTCAGGCGGTCCCGGGTGGCGCAGCCGTCCGACTCCACGCCGTCGTGCACAAACCTCTGGAACAGCTCCAGGGCGGCGCGATTGGGCACCTGGTCCGGCGTCCAATTGTCCGGCAGCGCAAAGTAAAACACCAGGCTGAACCCGGGGCCATCGTGGTTCCTGCCGAATATGGGCGGCTGCAGGGGGCGGGGATGCAGGTGGGAACGCGTGTGGGTCTGCGTACAAGGTACGATTGCCCTGGCCACCATGTGAGCCTCGCCCAAGAGCGAGGCCCCAAGCCCTACGCCGCCCACCAGACAGCAGGCAAAACCAGGGAGGTGCCTGCTCTCACCACGTAGGACGGCAGCTGGAGGTTGATGATGAGGATGAGGGGCAGCCGTTCCTCGGGTGGCAGCGCAGAGTGTGCAGCGCTGACGCGCGGCGGGGCGGGCAGGTCTATGTGGTGCGCTATATTGTGGATCTTCTGGTCGAAGGAGAAGAGGTCGGCGCCCAGCAGCCTGTAGATCGCGGGGCCGCTGGGCTCCTTGACCCTGGACTTCATGTAGTCCTGCCCACGCACCTGGAAGGTCTCGCCGCCCACCGACGCCCACCGCACGGCCAGGGGGGCAGAGGGCAGCGTGCCCAGGTTCTGACGGGAGGAGAAAGGGAGAAGGAGATGAATGCGAAGCATATGGATGCAGGGAACACGAGGGGGGCCCAGGCTGAGCATGCCCCGATCCCGATTTCTGTGTCTTGACCTGAAGGTATGAGGCTCATTGGGTGAGAGGAAAGGCACCGCAGTGGAGACTCATCCACACGCCCCCCATTCCACCACTCGTCCCACCTGGGAGTTCAGAGCGTTCCCGGTCAGGGACTTGATGAGGATGGGCCGGGAGCCGGTCTGCGGGTGAAGGGGGAGTGATGTTGGAGGAGTGAACACATGCGGAAATTCCTGGTGGTCCAGTGTGGAGGCGCAGGCGGTCTGGTACCACAGTCCGAGTGGGGCACCGCGGTATGCAGACGCAGCACGCTGACTCAGCCCGGCGCACCACGCGGGGCGAACGAGGCGAGGAGGGTAACTCCTCCAGGTTGGGCTGCTTCTGCTTCCGTAGCTCCCACATGATGCTCAGCCGGTCCTGGCGCAGGGGATGGGGGGGATGGACGCTTGATGGACAGGTTCAGCATGCCATGACACCACATTGGCAGCGGGGCCACTGTGCAAACTTTTGAGGGCTGTGAATGCACCCTCTCTCTCCAACATTGTGCTGCAGCCCCATCCAGGTTTCTGCGCTGGGGCCGCTCAGCCCCTGTGGAGAGGTTGCAAGCGCTTGAGTACCCCCCGTCCCCGAGGTTGTTGATGTCGCCCCTCCTCACCAGGAGGCCAGGGGATGACGAGTCTGAGAAGGGTGACTCGTGGTTGTTACCATCTGGAGACCACACCTCCATGCTCTCAGAGCCCGAAAGCGCCTCCTCAGCATCATGCCAGTCCTGGTCCTCACCTGTTGGTTCATGGTAGGGTGGGGTACAAGAATGATGCGCAGGGTCACATTTGCGGGCTATGGAGATACTCTAGAGAGACATTTGCAAGGCAATTTGACAGGCCCCTTATTTGGATTATTGGTAAGAACTGATCAAAGAGAAGAATAGCAGCATCATGCCTGTTTGCCCTGCAGTTCTCCCTGCAAGCACAACTCACTCCTGACAGATGGTGTACGGGCCCCGCTGATCCGGTGCAGCGGGGCTACGCCAGGATACATTCCTGTAAGGTCATGGGAAGTGAAATTCGGAAGCGGTAGGGGTGGACTATCGCGGCATGGCTTAAATACTCAGTGGCGCACCATTGAGGGAGGCCGCTGCAGCGTTCAGGTCCCTTGTATGCCGCCTCCTCCATTTTCGCCGCTTGCTGGCGCTCGGCTGCTTCCTGGGGCCACAGCACAAGAGCCATCGGAATGGCATGGCACCCCACCAGGGCTGCGGGCTGGCCGCTCAGCGCATTTCAGAGGTCGAGACTATACCCGCAGCTGACCCGAGCTGTACCCGACGTAAACCCCGGGGAAGATACCACCCAGACAGAATTCAGATGGAGTTTATGCTCTTGCCTAACATGCTGTGCGGGGTGCGAGGCTTACACAAGCGGAAGTGTTGGGCATCACCAATGGTCCCGCCGAGAAATGGAATAAAACCTGGAGTCGGTAGCGCCCCGGGAGGAGGCCGATGACCGTCGAAGCCAAAGGTCCAGCGTGATGCATCAGCTTCTGATATTAGATTTCATAACCGGGTTGAAAGTAAAGATCGCGGATGTAGGGCGTGGTTGCAACCACACCACGGCGTCTGGGGCCCCATGGCTTATATTCAGCGCAGACTCTGCACAGCGGAGGAGCTGGAAGCCATGTCGGTCAATCGCAAGCACGGCGTATCTCCCGCTCTCGAGAATCGCATGAAGCGCTCGGCCATAGACCTCATCGCGCATGCCGGGAAGGCCCTCAATATGTGAGCTGCGGTAGGGCATAGGCTCGGCAGAGAACGACGCCCTGCCGAGGAGGTGCACACCTAGGTCGTTCTCGCCCATCTTCCATTCCCGTTGTCTGCTCCTCCTGCGCTGCAGGGACCATGTTGCGATGGGCACAGCAGTGGTCATCTTCCACAGGTATTACGCCACCCACTCCTTTCTCCTGAACGACAAGTTTGTGAGTTGGAGGGGGGGACGGTTGGGACTTTATCTCTGCCCCTTTGCCAGAGTTCACAGGTGTACCAGCAGCTCCTGCAAGCCGGCTGAGCTGGTGCATGCCTCTACCAGGGTACCGACCTCATCACCCACTCCGCAATCCCCTCGCCAGCTCATTGCGATGGCATGTCTCTACCTGGGAGGCAAGCTGGAGGACACCCCCAAGAGCGCCCGCGATGTCATCACAGCATGCTGCATGCGGCGCTATGGGCCAGAGGTCGCGGGGCTCTCTCTCCGCAACCATGTGAGTCTGTGATGCGTCATGCACATCCTGGATGCTCGGCCCCTTGTGACCATCACTCCACCCCTGAATCCCTCTCGACGCTCCACAGGACTTTCTCACAGCAGCAAGGGAACGGCTCTTCCTGGCCGAGAGGGCTGTGCTGTATGCCCTGCGCTTCGATGTCGCCATAGAGCACCCCTTTGGCACGATGCTGGCCGCGCTGAGGAGGCCGGCGCTGACGCGAGTGTGGCAGGAGTGGGGCCAGGCTCACCCCGGCTCCGTCAGCTTCCAGCAGATGTGCATCAACCTGCTGAACGACAGGTACTGGTGTTGGGTCAGAGTTGAGGCGTGGGCACCGGGTGGGGGGTTGTGAGCACAAAGAAGCACGAGTCTGGGGGAGCTGTTGTCAGCCATGCAGATCAAATCCCATGAGCCGCTTGCTTCTCTCAGTCTGCCCTGCCGCCCGACGTCACCAACCCACCCTCCTACTACCCAACACGCAGCTACAAGCTGCCGCTGTGCCTAATGTTCCCAGCGTGCCATGTTGCGCTGGCGTGCATCTGGACGGTGATGAAGGTGCTCAGGATCCCGACCCGCCTCAGCGACGACGGCGTCACCCCCTGGTGGCAGGAGCATGGAATGCAGCATGAGGATCTCAAAGGTGGGCTGCTGGGTTTGAGGAGCCAGCACGGGGGGGGGGAGGTGTCAGGATGTGAGCATGGACCCAGGGGCAGATGTTTTTGTGGTACAGCTAGATACTGCCAAGTCTGCGCGCGCATTGTCCTGGGTTCCTAAAATGCGCCACTCAGCTGTGTCCAGCCACACGACTGGACTGGAAGGCAGGCATGTGGTAGTAAGTCGCTGCGATTCCTCCTCACCCTTACACATATGTTGCAGAGATATCCTGCATGCTGCTGGAGCGGCTGTACCATGCAGACGACGGCGCTGGAGGCACTGTGGGACCGGTAAGTGCTGCCTGCCCCACTCCCACTCCCCCAAAGCAGCTGCGTGCCGTAGGAGTGAAGCGCAAGGCAGGGGAGACCGGCGGCGCGGAGGAGTACAACGACCTCTTTGACGAGCTGCTGGCGTGACGCACGTGTCTCTCCCCGGGAAGATCTTGCGGTTCCGTGAGGCTTCCTCACATGAAAATGTCCCGAGAGAATCCTCATGTTGACGGCCAGAGCCTCATGCCCAAAACACAGAAGTACCCCCTTTTACCTTTTCAACCTTGTTGGTATATTTGCGGGCTCAAAAGGCACTGCAAGGGCCAGACCTGCATTCTTCGAGGTTCCCCACCTCTCGCCCGGCGCGACCACACGCAAAGTCTCACACAGGGTGCGTCCCAGCCACCGCCGCGGAGGGCACCAACAAGAAATTCAGCGAGCACGCTTCATTATGGTGGGTACATGAGCTTTAATGCGCGTGACTGCGAGTGAGAAGGCCAAACCGACGCGTTCGTGGGCCGTACCTGCAGGTCCCTTCTTCCACTCCTGACCATCGACCCGTGCAGGGTGCGTGCTGCGGCGTCCCCGCGACGTCGGGGGAGTACCGTCCCCAGCAGCAGTACAGTCAGGGGTATCCCCCTCAGAACTATGAAGCTGGCTACCCACCCCAGGGCTACCCACCTCAGGGGTATGGCCAGCCCGGCTACGGCCAGCCCGGCTATGGCCAGCCAGGCTATGGCGGTGAGCTTGACAGGCAGAAATCACCACTGCGGGCTGTCAGCAGAAGCCAGAGCGGCAGGAGGTCTGCTGCGTCCCATGATCGCCATGGCTACCATTGTTGTGCGCATGCTGAGGCTCTCCACTTCCCTGTCCATTGCTGCTGCAGGGCAAGGAATGTACAATCAGCGGCCCCAATCGAGCGGCATGGGCGCCGGCACCGGCCTGGCGCTGGGCGCGGGTGCAGGCTTCCTGGGCGGCGCCCTCATAGGGAGCGCGCTCACACCGGGGTGAGCATTGGAATCGATTGTTGCCTGCTGCCATCCTCCCAAGGGCCTGAGGAGGGCTGAGGGGTGCCTTGTCTATATTTTTGGGCATCACAGCTGCAGCGGTGATTGCTCAGCTGGCATTTTGATTCTTCACCCCTTGATGCACAGGTATGGAGGAGGATACTACGATGGTGGCAACACCGAGATAACCAACAATAATGTTGTTGGTGAGTGGACCATGGGTCCTTATTGTGCTACACAGGGATGTAGAGTGTATTATGACATTTGGGAGGATCCTCAACCAGATGCTGGTGGGGGCTACCTTTCCATGACCTGTGACCTGGAATCCCTTTGTGCATGTTTGCCCTCTGGCAGTACACAGTGCACCCTTTTCAATAAGAATTCTTACTTCCTCCACTGCAGTAAACGATGGCGGGGGAGGCGGTGGAGACTACGGCGGGGGCATGGGAGGAGGAGGGGACTGGGGAGGTGGTGGCATGGGAGGCGGCGGCAGCGATTGGGGCGGTGGCATGGGTGGCGGTGGCGACTTTGGCGGCGGCGGCGGCGACTTTGGCGGCGGCGGCGGTTGGTAGACTGACATGACTTCAATCTCTTGACAAAAGGCACACCCTTTGTGGAATCTGCCTGAATCACCTGATATTCTGTGACGTTTGCTTTTGGCTGATTGTGTTTGTGTCCGGAAACCGGCCGACCAGAGGTCACAACACGACGACGCAGTCGAGGGCGCCACGCACAGTGCAAGGACATCGCGCATACATGAGAACCTCAGTAGCCTTTATTTGACGCACATGCGATCTGATATCGTTGTGATTTTCCACATACAAGCTACTTGTCGTCTGTGTGTGAGGATCAGTCCTCGCTGCGCTGCAGGCCCATGCCACTCTGAAGTGACGAGGTGGAAGGCGAGCGCGACGAGCGATCCCGGAAATTGTTGGCCGGGCGATTGGAGGCCAGGGACCTCATACCCAACTACTTGCATCCCCTTGTACTTATTAGCATTGCTAATTATTCACCCGCTTGCAAGTCAGTGCAATAGCCGAGCCTGTGTCTAGGCCTTCCACCTCAACGGGACTGCGACCGAGCGGGGCCTCCCGCACAGGGTTACCTCCGTGGAGCGCCCAGCACAAGAGTTTATAGAGCGCGCTGGAACATGGTGAGCACATGAGAGGGAGTGTGTGTCTTTGCCAAAGGATGGGGGCAGGCGGTGCATTTCGTGGGGCGCTCCTGTCCGTCTCTCCATGGACACCTGTCCTCCTGCCAATGCAGGGTGCGTGCTGCGGCGTCCCCGTGACGTCGGGGGAGTATTACCCCCAGCAGCAGTACAGTCAGGGGTATCCCCCTCAGAACTACCAGGCCGGCTACCCACCCCAGGGCTACCCACCTCAGGGGTATGGCCAGCCCGGCTATGGCCAGCCTGGCTATGGCGGTGAGCCTGCATGGTGGTCTCTCCCTGCCTTACGCCGTCTGCACCGGAGTGCATGGGCGGAAGGAGGCTCACAGGGTCACACGGACGCCAGAGCTGCCTGTTCCCCTCGCAAGCGCGACCTGTGATCACCGCCTCTTCTGCTCCATGCCGCAGGTCCGGTGGTATACAACCAACAGCCTCCACCCTGCGGAATGGGCGTCGGCACCGGTCTGGTACTGGGCGCCGGTGCCGGCTTCCTGGGCGGGGCCCTCATAGGGAGCGCACTCACACCAGGGTGAGCTGCACGACCGGCATCCCTACTGCTGCTGGCTTGTCAGGGTCGTGGAAGGGCTGAAGGGTGCCTTGTGTGGGCTGGGGACCACAGCATCGGTGGAGGATTCTTCAGCAGGCATTGAATTCCGGAGCGCCTGTGACGCAGGTACGGAGGTGGATACCCTGCTGGTGGCAACACTGAGATCATCAACAATAATTATGGAGGCGGGTTCCCTGCTGGCGGCAACACTGAGATCATCAACAATAACTATGGAGGCGGGTTCCCTGCTGGCGGCAACACTGAGATAGTCAATAACAACATTGTCGGTGAGTTGATGAAAGGTGTATTGCTGCACTTTATGGGGTACAGCCAGGGATCGCGTGTATAGTCTCAAAGGCACGATGTCGGGAAGCTCTGTCCACGGCATATGACTCGCGATCGTGCGCCTGATCGCCCTCCTGCATGACAACATGCTCCCATCCGACAAGAAGCCCACTTGTTTTCCACTCCAGTGAACAATGATTACGGTGGAGGTGGTGGAGACTGGGGTGGCATGGGAGGCGGTGGCAACGACTGGGGCGGTGGCATGGGAGGCGGCGAAGATTTTGGTGGCGGTGGCAGCTTTGGCGGCGGCAGCGATTTCGGCGGTGGCGGCGTCGGGTAGACTGACATGACTTTGAGCTTTTGACAACAGGCCCACCATGTGCACTCTGTCTGGGGGTGGGCGTAACACGCCGCCACGTATGTTATTGACTGATGACGGTTTCTGAATGCATCATGAAACGGCAAGGGAATGCATTACGAAACGGGCAGGGTGTCCCGTTGGGACGAGCTCGGTATGGATCTATGAAATTCAGCAGCAGCGCGCGCCGAGACGAGACTTTGCATCTCGCTGGAAGAACGTGCACTTGATGTGATCTCATTGTGATCATTCATTTTCAGGCTCCTTGTGCTCTGTGTGTGAGGATCAGTCCTCGCTCCGCTGCAGGCCCATGCCGTTCTGAAGTGACAGGGTGACTGCGTAGGGAGGCAGCATGGCAAGCGCGAAGGGCGGGGTGCGGAGGTCTGTGGAGCCGAACATTACCCTCTTCAGCCCCGCCGAGATTCGCGTGGTGAGTGATCGAGGTGCCTGGACCGCCAGGGCCTTCGAACCGAGCGCAGCGCACCTGTGCCAGCAGCGGGCTCCCCCACCCCCTGCAGGCCATGATCCCTGTCGGAGAGGCGCCGGATGCGGAGTTCCAGCGGTGTGCCTCCCTGATCACCCGGCACAAGCAGGTTGGCTACACTCCTTTGGCCGCGGTGATGAGCAGTGCCCTGGCCACGATGGGGTGCAGACCCTCACATGGGCCAGATACTTAAGATACAGCGCGGCCGAATGCCAAGGCAGCGGTAGTCCTTGCATCAGGGATCGTGCCTGCATCGCTCATTCCCCCCCCCACACACACGTGCCACCAGGTGAAGCTGTCTCACGTGCGGACCTTTCATCACGAAGCCCACAAGACGCCCTTCAAGCACATCCCCTGGAAGAGCGGGAACATGAACTTCAAGTTCCTCGGGGTGCGAGGCGTGTACGCGCTGTAGTTTACTGTCGGGCTGGGTGGCTGTTTGTCGTGCTCTTCTCGGGACACCACATGCAGGTCGGCCATGGTCAGGGGCTGCTGCATGCTGGGCTTTGCCCGCTGCACCCCTCCATGCTCCTGCCGGGCCTTTGTTTGACCTGGCAGCCACCGCAGTGTTTCTCCTTGCAATCACCCGCCACCCCTTGACGCCATGCATCCCCCAAACCATGCTCCTTCTCTCCACAACCCCTCTCCCCACACATGCCACCATGCCCCTTCCTCATCCTCCCCGCCCAAAAACATCGACCACACGAACCCGGCAGGAGGAGGCCGCCCTGGGCCCCAGCCCTCTGTCCACGCTGCATGCCCACCGGGCGGTGCTGGGCGTGATTGGCATCCTACACTGTGGGCACACACGTGACCTGGCCAAGGCCTGCCGCGCTTTCCAGCAGCGCTGCCATGCGTTCAAGGGCGCCTTCACCGTGCGGCTCTTCGGCTTCGACCCCACCGACGCCCAGGTGGGCGGCGGCCTGCTGGCCCTCCCGGGCCTCGACACCTTCCCTCCGGGTGCCACCCCAGAGCACCTGCAGCACCACGCCGAGGTGGTCATGCACGACTACGCGGCCTGCATGCTGGGCGAGCTGGAGCGCTGGATGCACAGCGCCTCGCCCGCCATGCTGGACCTGGGCTCGCTGGTGGACGCGCCGGAGTTCACGGGGGCCGGGCCCCTGGAGGCGGTGCAGACGCGGCTCTACAGTGACGAGGTCTGTCGTTGTCGAGAATCATGAAGGGGGAGGGGGGTTGAGGTGGGGGGGGCGGCACGGAGGGGGGGTGCAAGGTGGCAGTATGTGGTGGTCGACGGGGGGGCTGGCGCATGACCCCAATGGCTGCAGGCAGCATCCTCAGCACACCCCTTTCTACCTCATGCATGCAGGAGGTGAAGACAAAGAAACGGTATGGCCGGCTGCAGAAGGCTATGGGCGACCACTGCCTGCTTGCGGGGTCACCGCGGGACGCGCTGGACCACTTCAACGTCGCCGCCGATTTGTGCCGCGTGGTGGGGGACTGGGTCTTCCAGGCGGGGGCGTTGGAGGGCCAGGCCAGCGCCAAGGTGAGGGGGATTGGACGGGAGGAGGGGGGGGGGAGAGATGGGATGTGTGTGTTTCTGGCCTGCGCGGGATGCTAGCTCCAGAGGGCAGACTGCCGCTTCGCGGCCAGTCTGCCTCGTGCTCATTGACTGATGGTTCCTGGGTGCCCAGATGGCGTGATGCTGGGGGGGGACCTCACGCCATTGATACCCCATCCCCCCATCCCTCCTTACACCGCAGGCGCTGGAGGCGGCGATGGACGCGGGGGGGTACACGGTGAACCAGGCCTCCGTCTTCACCGACGACAAGCAGTGGCGGCGCGGCCGCGATGGCCAGGCCTCCGGCACCGCCTCCGAGGCTGGCACTCCCGTGTCCAGCCGCGATCTGGGGTCTGGGGACCGACAGGCCAGCGGAGGGGTCGTTACCTCAGGGCTGGAGGTCGAGCAGTCGGGGTCGAATGGGACTGCGCCCCAGGCCGCAGACGACGCGCTGTCCCAGGCCGGCACGGGTGCGTGCGTTTCTCTATGTGGGGTTGTCTGTAGTTGGGGTGGGCAAAGGTAGGGGGCCTTGTCTACTGGCATTCGCACTTGTGGATGCTGTGTCTGACGTGGCATGACACAGGTCTGATGCTGCGGTGTTCCTTGGAAAGGGGTTGAGTGGGATGTGTGACGGAACGGCCGCTAGTTATCTGATGAATGACCCCCTGTTCCCTACACCTATGGCCCCTCCTCCCGTCCACCCCCCTGACCAGGCACCAGCACGGCCTTCGGCGGTCCCAAGTTCTGGAAGGCGTTGCGCAGCTCCGGCGTGGAGGGGGAGGTGCGCGCGCACATGGCCGAGGCCAAGGCGGCGTTGCGGCGCAAGGGCGTGCTGCCGCTGCAGGCGGAAGCCGATTTGAAGCTGGCGCGCTTCCTGGCCGGCCTTCACGTGAGTTGGAGTTGATGGTGGTTGTTTGGGCGGAGGGGAAATGCTTGGGAAGGGGTTTGTGAGCAGGGGAAAGGGGGGCTTTGTAGTCGTGGAGAGGGCAGATAGGGGTGATGTAAGCGGCCTGGAGAGCTGTCCTGGGCTGTAGCACAAAGCATGCCGGCAGCTATGCGGGCACTGGGCACTCAAAAGCCCCCCCTCCTCCTCATTGATTCCCCAACCTTCCATCCAGGGCGAGGCGGCGCGGGCTGAGGTGTCCGACCTGGTCACAGGCGTGCTTTCCTTGGTTGAGGGCATGCCCCTGCCCGAGGACCGTATGCTGGCCTTCGTGGAGGGCGCGGGGGTGAGTGGAGTTGGTTATCTGGGATGTGAGGGGACAGGGATGCGATGGTACATAGAGAGGGGAGTAGGTGCTTAGGCTCCTATTGCGATTCCCAAGATGCCCAGCGTGACTGTCCAGGTTTTTAAGTTTCATCTGGTGCCCCGCAGAGCTTGCCGTCCCTTATACCCTCTCTATGTCTCGCCACCCTTCCCCCTTCCCCCCTTTCCCAGGCGCTGGGGCTGGTGGGCTCGCTGCGCAAGCGCATGCTCCTCCTCTGGCAGGCGGTGGAGCTGAGCAAGTACCTAGGCTTCCCCAATCTGCGCAGCCTGGAGGTCGCCAGGTGAGGGGTGGGGAGGGGTTGGCTGCTGGTGTGGGTGGGAAAGGTGTGCGTAGGTGGGGAATGTGTGCGTGGGATGGGAAGGCTCTGCTGAGGGTTGAGGGAGGTTTCTGGTGGAATGCAGTGTGGGGAGCGGTGGTCGAACACGTCGCAAGATGCGAGAGCGTCGTCAATGACAGGTCTCGATGCCCCCCACCCAAACCCTCCCTCTCCATCAAATGCTCCGCCAGGAAGGCGCTGGAGCCGCCGGATCGACACATGGACCCTGTGGGCCTGGAGGAGCCCTGGAGCACGCCCCGCTCCGCCCTGCACCGGGAGAGCCCCAGCCTGTGGCCCCAGGTGCGCGCCGGCTGCCTGGAGGCCATCCTGGGGCTGGCCATCTACGCCAAGCAGCACGCCGAGGTGTGGGAGGCGGCGGCCGTGCTCCTGCGCGACCACCCCGCCGAGCTGTCGCCGCACCGCCAGCAGAGCCTGCTGGAGAACATGCTGGCCGCCGCGGCGCAGATGGCGCCCGCCGAGCGGTGAGCGCGGAGAGGAAGGGTGGGGGGGAAATGAGCGGTGCCTGGGCGTGGAAGGGCGACTGTGGGACGCCTGCGCTCGAGTGTGCCTCGAAGAGGGTACTGGGCCGCGATGCCGTGGGCGTGCCTGCCCGCGTGTGGCCCCGGCCGCACAGCAAAGCGCCCCATTCACCCAGGGTCAAACCCTCCTCCTCCTCCTCCCAATCCCGCCAGGGCGCGCCCCGGGCCCGGGCCGCCGCCGCTGCTGCGCTTCCTGGCCGCGCGGCCCAGCGCCCCTGCGCTGCAGCTGGTGGCGCTGGGCGCCCCCGCCCCCGCCAGCCCCGGCACGCCGGGCGGCCCCTTCCTGTACGACCCATTTGCCGCGCGACGCGGCGTCGCGGCCGCCGCGGGCGCGGCCGCCGCCGCGGGCCACGCGCCGCTGGAGTGGGTGGTGGGCGAGCCCGCGGCGGTGGAGGTGGAGGTGTCCAACCCCTCCGCCGTCAGCCTGCGCATCGACAGGATGGTGCTCGAGGTCGAGTACCTGGGCACCCACGACGCGCGCCCCGTGTCCCCCGCTGCCCAGCCCACGGTGGGTGTGTTTCGGGGGGTTGGGGGGGAGGTTTTCTGGGTAGGAAGTCGAAGGAAACAGGCTGCAACAGGGTATCACTGCCCTGGCTGGATCCCCGTGATCGGCGCCTGCTCGGCGAGTGTGGGGCCGTCAACCCGCCTCCACCCCCTCTCAAATCAACCCACCCCTGGCCTCTGCAGTCGGCGTGGCGCAACAAGCCGGTGTCTCTGAACATCCCGCCTGCCACCAAGCCGGTCCGCATCCAGCTGGAGGGCACGCCCCAGCTCCCGGGGACGATTGCCATCACGGGGTGCAAGTGGGTGGTGGG